CGAAAAATCAGCTTTTTTATGAAACACAAAACTATATTTTTTTCTTAAATTTGCACGGTTGTCGGCTTACAATGTAATTGGATTTGTGCTGTTTTGTTTAATTTAAATATTTAAAAAAAATACATAATTTTATTCAAAAATCAACATTTTTGTCATTTTACTAAAAAATATATAATTTCTCCCGGGACCTAATATAACTTTTTACTGGTTGCCCTCTAGGTATAAAACGTAAAAAAAATATAGTTTAAACCGCTCAATTAAACATCTTGCCGTAAAAAAAAAATCCTGAAGTTGCCAAAAAGTGTGTTTTGACGCATAAACAGCCGTTTATTTCACCCTGAGGTGGTCCAAGTAAAAATACAAAATATGGTGGGTTTGGAAGAACGATTGATCGTCTTTTGATTCTGAAAGTTTAATCAGAGTAATTTTTGTTTAAAACGAGAAAACAATTTTTGAAGTTGAACTCTCGCACCACTACCCGTCGTCGCTTCTTAAACGCCTCTTCACCGCACAGCACGCCACCTGCGACAATAGCCGAAGCGATTAGGTCCAAAGAAACAACCGAGTTTGCTGCCCGCTTCCCCTCGTCCCTCTTTTCTGGCTGTAAGGGAAGAAACGGCGGGTATCGTGTGCTAATCGGAGGTGCCGCCAATGCGTCGCCATAGCAGGCCCGTTGTGCCCTTTGTACCCGAGGGCGGCTCCTCACACTCCGAAACGCGATGCCTAATCGACGGGCGGCATCAGCTGACATGGACTTCTTTATGCCATGCTAAAGGTCCCACGGCGACCTCCGATTCCTAAAATAAAATTAATGCTTCTTCAGCATAATGTTTGTTGTGCTTCTCCAAAATATTTTTGACGAGAAACAAATTTCATGGGGCGTTGGCGGTTCGAACTCGTAAAAAAGGGGTGAAACTAGGAATCATTTATTAATTGATGAAAATTAAAATATTTTTATAGAACAGCATACCTGCCAACCTCTGGACTTTCAAATTCGTAAAACTCCAGCAGCCACCGGAAAAGGGGGGGGGGTTACGCAAAGCGATGTGCTGCTTAATGTCAGCCTTGCCACCATGCGAAACGCTTACATCACACGTGCACGTGTTACAGAATCCAAACTTCTCTCCCTTTTTATACGGCACGAATTACGGGAATTCTGACGTGTAGGACTTCATGAACACCTGAAAGTACCTCTTTTGAGGTTTAGAGTTCGCCATTGCGCCGCAAAGCCACCGCGACCAGGGGAATGCTACGATTACATGTGCAACAAACACAGACGCCGCACTTCTCGCCTCGAAACTGATTGAAACAGAGACGCCCAACCACGTCTGAACACGCCGAACCAACGCGACCAACGTGCGCCGCCGAACACGCAAACAAAAGCTTTGGGTTTTGGATTGGTTTTGGATCTGTGGCCACCGGATAGACGGATAGTAAAAACCACGACGCTGCCGTGGACGGTACCCATCGCCCTCTTGTGGCGGTGCAAGATACCGCGAGCAACAACTATACAAAGCAATTGTTTAAAATTTTTTTTTTTTATATATATAATTCGCTTTTCCGTAAAATTTGAAGCAAGATTCGTAAAATCGTAAAATTAGTCCCCATTCGTACATTCTACGAAAAATTCGGAAGAGTTGGCAGGTATGGAACAGTGGACAATTTTTTCCTAAAAACCACATGGTATTTTGATTGTTGTATAATAAGGATCATGGATATTCGCGTAAAGCAATTTTAAAATAAAGTAATATATGAGAATTTTAGCCTTTTTGATAGTTTGGTTACAAACTATCTCGTTGCTGCAGGTGATTAAAACTTCTTATTGGAAACCCTGTGAATATACTGCACAAAAAAAGCCGTCAATTCTGCCTTGAGGTGGTCGAAAGAAAAATGCGAAACATGGTGACTTTTACTGAAGAGTTTATTGCCTTTTGTTCCTGAAAGTTTAATTAAAATAATTCTGTTCTAAACACAAAAAAAAAACATTTTGGAGTTGAGCTTTTACGTCACAACCTGGTGTCGTTTCTTGTGCCTCTTCTCTGCACAGCACGGCACCGTCGAGCCCGGCGAAGCGTGCGACGGTGTAACGGTGTGCCCACGCAGGTAGGGAGCAAGACCTTGAGTTGTCGGGTACATCTTGGTGAAAAGGGGCTGTTTTTCACTCTTGTTGTTTTATGGCTTTTCCCATTTCGACCGTTTTACGCGCCGATGTCCTCCTGTGATCTTCAAGTGTCTTGATGTCAGGAGATGCTTAGCGCTGCCGGTTCAGAGCATCCATTAGTAAGCTAGCTGTTTCCTACATACACAACGCGATCACTCTCTCTTGTTAACGTCAGGAAAGATGTAAACAGCAGCACAAAAGACCCGTGAACGGGCAATCTCGAACGACGAGGCGATGTGGTGTTGACGAATGCGCTGTTGAAGGCTCACGCGTCGTTTGTGCTCAAATCGATTTTGAAATGACAAAGTCTAGCACGTAGCATAGATGGTGACGCACGCTTAAAGTGATGGTGACTTCTTGTCCCTCTGACGGGGACCGCTGAGCTAAATCTTGGAGTGAGTCGAGCTCGTTTTTCTTCAACCATTTCTTTCGGCACCCAAAGTATTGTTATGACCCCGATGTTATTTTTGGCCCAGGTAAACAGCTGCTGGGGGGTCATGATTTGGTTCTCGAAGGGACTTCGAAGACTGGCCCTTGCTGCCAGACGTTTCAATGTACCCCCGACTCCGCCACAAGCACTCTTCCTGTGGGACGTTGCGAAAAAATTCCATTCAGCGGAAATGCCGAAATCATTTTCGTGCTGACAGAGATTTGCAAAGTTTTTTTTTTTTTTCTTTTTTTTATTTTCGTATTGAGAGCCTCATCCATCGTTACACCACCGTACATCGCACTTGACGAAAAATGAATTCCTTTCTTTGACAGATTTCCGATCTCAAATGGTCATTCAAAAGCCAACTTCTCGCTTGTCAGCCCTTTCCTAGCTTACTAGCGCAGAAGCGGGTTACTCAAAATGCAAGGAATGAGTCTCGATACCCAGTGTCAATAGTGCGGACACGTGCCTTTGTTTATTCATTATTTCCGATCGGTCATGTAAGGATTTCCGCACAGACAATATGGACCGAAAATAATGCTAGAAGCGCAATCTTGGCTTGTGGCGATGCTTTAAGCGTCCGAGTTAACATACTGAATCAGCGCGTTTCAGAGCTTTGATAGCCTTCACTGCGCTCCAACCAAGCGCGAACCGGATCATAGTTCCGCTTTTCACCGCACCATGCGTGACTGCTAGATTTTGCGGCGTTATTACCGTGTTTCAGACGTCCACGTCAGCTGATGCCACCCGTCGATTAGGCATCGCGTTTCGGAGTGTGAGGAGCCACCCTCGGGTACAAAGGGCACAACGGGCCTGCTATGGCGACGTACTGGCGGCACCCCCGATTAGCACACGATACCCGCCGTTTCTTCCCTTACAGCCAGAAAAGAGGGACGAGGGGAAGCGGGCAGCAAACTCCGTTGTTTCTTTGGACCTAATCGCTTCGGCTATTGTCGCAGGTGGCGTGCTGTGCGGTGAAGAGGCGTTTAAGAAGCGACGACGGGTAGTGGTGCGAGAGTTCAACTTCAAAAATTGTTTTCTCGTTTTAAACAAAAATTACTCTGATTAAACTTTCAGAATCAAAAGACGATCAATCGTTCTTCCAAACCCACCATATTTTGTATTTTTCCTTGGACCACCTCAGGGTGAAATAAACGGCTGTTTATGCGTCAAAACGCACTTTTTGGCAACTTCAGGATTTTTTTTTTTACGGCAAGATGTTTAATTGAGTGGTTTAAAATATTTTTTATACGTTTTATACCTAGAGGGCAACCAGTAAAAAGTTATATTAGGTCCCGGGAGAAATTATATATTTTTTAGTAAAATGACAAAAATGTTGATTTTTGAATAAAATTATGTATTTTTTTAAAATATTTAAATTAAACAAAACAGCACAAACCCAACCACATTGTAAGCCGACAACCGTGCAAATGTAAGAAAAAAATATAGTTTTGTGTTTCATAAAAAAGCTGATTTTTCGTAAATTATTGAGTGATGCCTAGTTTCACGCTGTTTTCAAAAATTAAAATCGCGCTCACGTCATCACAAATTTTTTTTCGTCAAAACTATTTTAGGGTATGGCTACGGACCTTGTGACCGAAGCCCATGAATTTTTTTGTAGGAATCGGAGGTGGTCGAGCGCAACGTCTGGGACGTTTCACATGGAATGACCCTGCAGTGACGAGAGTGCGAAACGAGAGACTGCAGGAAAAAAAAACATGCAAGAACGGATGAAGGATTGATGCAGGGTACTTTGTGTCGGGCGGCCGCTTGCGCCACCTAGCCCGCCAAGCTCCATTACGGCATTCAGTTTAGTTTCGGATTTCCAAGGCGACCAAAATTGGTCCTTTGATGCAGGCTTGGCGCAAATCCCCCATATTTGGGCAAAATGTAGCAGGATGTAGCAGGGTTAGCCCCTTGGCGCAATTGGCGCAGCAATCGCACCACTGAATATGGTAAATATACATAAATCCCCTCGCTTTAACTTTGTGCAAATGCGTCATTTCCTCGCCATCACAACGTAGGCATTGGACTGGCCACAGTCGATAAATATAGCGAGATTAAAAGTAGCCTAAAAATGGGCAAGTGGTCGCTTGGGAACCACCTTCACGAGTTCAGCCGGGTTTTCGTTTAAGCTTAGTGCAACAGTAGTGAAAGGCTCGGAGAAACGGCGAGATATTCAATTAGAAAATATTCAGCCAAAAACACTATTCGCTTCAAACTCAAAATCTACAATTCACGCACGACTTGTGAACATAAATGTAACATTTTTCCAAAACTCATTTTTTATAAAACAAAATTCCGAGGCCATATTTTCATTTTAACAATCTTCCTTTTTATTCGCTGCCCCAGACTGTTAAAAGAGCGGGAGCTGCGAGAGACCGTGCGGGCGAAGGAGGGTGGACCCACCAGGTTCTTGTTGAGGTCCAGCATGCGAGCTCTGAGAGCGGCCGGGGCGTCTCCCAGGCTGGGCTCCACAAACTTGGCCTGGTCCAGCAGTCCGGCCAGCCGGGAGAGGGCCTCCTGCCGCTGCTTCCAGTTCTTGTCCCCCAGCTCGGACAGCAACGACTCCGTCAGCTGGCCGCTGCACGGAGGTGTCACCCTCGCTAGGCTGCGGCTAGAGCAACTATGCAAGCTCTGCTCGCGGAGCAGGGTATCGCAACGGCCTCTGCCCCAGGTATCGCGAGAGACAGGCGCGACGACGTGAGGCAGCAATTCGGAACGCACGCACCGTTGCCAGTCTCCCGAGTACTTTGAGAGCGCACTACGTTGCCCGCTCGTACGCCGCCTCAAAACTCTGCTTGTGCCATAAGAATGTGACAGACCCCCTCTGAAACTCAATCTGGCTACTTCCATCACTATTATCAACATTACCACCCGTCCACGTTAATACCAGCTTTTGGTTAATGATGAAGAAAGAAGTTGAAGACTGACACCGACGCGGAGCATGCACAATCCGAATGTTAATTCGTAGATTTTTGTTCCACGTCGGCGTGACAACTTGTAAGCTTTTGAGTATTCCAGGGTGTTACACGAGTCTTTCGAGCATTCGCTTTCGGCACGCCCCAGACCGCCCACGCCAACAAAAAAGGTGTGGTCGGCCGGTAGAACCCCCTTCCTAATAAAATACAAAAGCTATTTCGGTATTCTTAGACTCACATCTAATAAATCGGTTGGTACACACCTGGAGAGTTTTACCCAAAGTGCCTAAAAATCGTTTATCAGACCCAAACTTCAATAAGCAACCGCAACCTGGTGTCCACACCAAATATATCTTATCAACGCACTTGAAGCACTTCAAAATTGCACCACCAGATTCATTCACGCCTCATACTCGTACAATGTCAGTGTATCTTCCCTAAAAGCTGCATCATGTTTGCCAACTCTTTCACAAGTTCTTCTCTCCGCTTGGCAGCGCAGCTTACAACGTACCCCCAGCGCGCAAGTTCCAGCGCACCGTTCATCTGATCCAGGTCGCCCACCCACAGTCCCGCAATGTCACCTTCTCTGCCTCACTTATTTTTCCCGCCAGCCAGACTGGGAAGAACTTTCCTACAACACTGGTGCCATCACCTGCCCATCGAGTTTCATAGGAAATGTCACCATTAATGTATCACAGTGAATTCTTTTCTCACTTTTTCAAATTGTTTGTTTGTAAACCCCACCCCTTATGTAACACCCCCTAACGGGGATCTTTAAGGTACTAATAAAGTGATGTGAAGTGAAGACACGTCCTATTGAAGTTACAGTCGGTCGCAGATGCTACACGAAACGCTACACTTATCAATTGTCATGTGCTTCTTGAAGTATTCGCCGGCGCTGGTCCAATCAAAGACCTCACTGAGGGTAACGTGTTTGTGAGCGTTGCGACGTTTCAGAACGCTGAAGCAGCTCGTTGAGTCGCACGCCGAGCTTGGAGTCTTTGCTCTCATCGAAACTTTAGTTTCTCGTCGTCTTTCAAGTCAGTGCTGCTCTTGCTCTTCGGTTGCTGAAGCAGTTAGCTGCATTGCGCATCTGGCCCTAGCAGCCAGACGCTTGCTTTTCTGGCATCTTTCATTGAAGAATTTGGGCTGAACAATCTCTCCGCATTACTTCAACCAACACAGCTGCATTCCTCGATGAGCCATCCAATTGCTTACGCATGTGGGGAGCTATCCTCGGCCAATCGGCATCAGCAGTCGCTGCGCCGGTCATAGCTTTCTTCCTCTCCACCCAATCGATTATTCTGTGGTTAGATTCGCAGTAACGGCTTTTGTGGCTTCGCTTAATCTGAAAACCTAGGCTAAGAACGTTTCACGTTCATTCATTTCCTGGCTTAGAATTTCAGTCCAACGCAACAAAGGTGCGATAGCACTCGACAGAGTCATAACAAGCGGCCCTTTTTATCGGAACATGGCCGAGATATTTAGATATTTTCCCGCTAAACGTTACGTCGCAACGTGCGAGACCGACTGCGGACGACCGAGGCACTCACCTGATGTCAGTGCGAGGCACGAGGTCCTCCAGCGCTGGACCCTCGTCCTCCGGCGTCCCGCAGTCACCCGAACCGTCCGCCGCCGCCGCCATAGCCACGGCGGGACCCCGCACCGGTGCTGGGGGCTTCTCTCCCTCCAGCTGCAGAGCCCCACGTGCACTTGAGTGATTATGGGCCCGTTCGGGGAGGGAGACTCAACCGGGGTGCCTGCCAATGCTTCTCTCAAGCTCCCCGGCCTTTTCCAGGTTTTCCCCAGACATTTCTATCAAAATCCCCGACCAACACGAAAGAAGAAAATGCGGACGATGGGGTGGCGGCAGCCTGTTAGAGCCTAACCGTTTAACCTCGGAGGAATCAAAGCGTGGCTTGCGCTTTCCGGTGATGCCTCCAGCAACCGTACTTCGGCACAAAAGCAAGCCACAATCTTCGTAGCACGTCGCTGCACCGCCCCCGTCAGTCATTTTCTCCGACCTTACCCATTTTTTCACGATTTCACCGGTAATTCCACTACTTTTCCGGATACTTTGAGACTCCTCGGCAATTCCAAGTTCTGTACAAACCCCGCGTTCGGCCGACTAATACCGTCCCCGCCTGGCAGTCGCATCCCCGCCTAGGCTTGGCGACCACCGACCCGAGCACATTGGCGGAGAAAGGCAGCCAGTCGTTTCGTTCTGGGATGCTCGGACCCGGGAAGCAAAATTCCGCGAGAGGACGCACATATTTGGGTGAGAGAAAGGGTGCGCGATAAAGCGCTAAACACCAGGCACGCATTAGCTTTTTATTGACGAGATACAGTCAAACCCACTTACAACAAACGTGTCAGTTTTGCAAAAAGTGGTCGTTTCATCAGTAGTTCATTATATCTGGACTTACCTTTAAAACACGTCATAATTAAGAATAATAAAGCTGGTATTGATAGTTTAACCCTGCCAACTCTTTATTTAAAGAAACTGTTTGCACGATTCAAATGCGCCCCCAATTCTAACGCGCAGGCAGATTTAGCTTTCCGATTATCAGAAAGTAAATTGCTGCCGAACCTACTGAGCAGGTAAAATAATTTTGGTTGACAACATACCTCATAGAACAGATTTTACGAAACGCATGCAAAAATAAATGCCGTGCACTAATCCAAAGACGGTTCTTCACTGTCTACAGAGGTAATTAACACTTGCTTTAATATAAGCATTTAAAGTGCAGCACTTCCTGCGCACGTACAAGTGCACGGCCGTCGCCTCTGACAGGGTCGCCTTTCGAACAACACTTTGCGAGCTCGTCGAGTGGCTGGGATTGCGAGGCCATGCAGTGCTGCTCCATTCTCTTTTTCCGCCAGCATGATGCCCTTTCGTTTGAATAAAGCCTCCTAAAGATTTTTTTTCTTCCTATTTTAAAACAAGACACAAGCCCAAAGATGCGAGAGAATGTGCATGGTACGAATACCAAAATGAGAACATACTCAAATGGTCACGATGGCGATGGGGCTAGCCACCTTATAACCGAGCATTGAGTTTGTCTTGAGTATCAATAGAACGAACGCAGCACGGCGTGAGAGTCGACTGCCTCCTCTTGTTCTCCTTCCCGCGCACCCACCACAATCGCGGGACCACAGTGCGGCAGACTACGCGACCCTGGAGAGCGTTTTTGCTTTTGTAGTTTTGTTTCCTCCCCAGGAAAGTGCACCGCATGACCGTGGAAATGATTTTAAGCATCTCTCGGAGAGCCGTGCCAGAATGTAGCTCTTTTGATCTTATTTTGTCTTTTCACATGCGGGAGTTGTTTTTTTTTTCTTCTTCTTCCCGAAGCGGACTGAGTGTTTGTTGTAACAGTATGATGCACTGAAAAACGGTCATTCCATCTGGACCAATTTTAATGGGTAGGGCCTTGAATTCCTATATTTTCTGAAAGATGGTCGTTATAACCGATAGGTCGTTACAGTCGAATCTCGTTAATTCAAACTCAAAAGGGACCGAAAATTTGTTTGAATAAAGCAAAGTTTCAATTATTGGGAGTTTCCTTCCACAGAGACGCATAGGAAGGGACCAGCATGTTAGTTTGAATTATCCACAAGTTTGAATTAAGAGAGTTTGAATTAATGAGGGTCGACTATAGATGTCGGATCATTATAAGTGGGTTTGACTGTATACGAATATTGCTTAAAGGGCAACTCCGCTTCATTTTTGATATTTAGAAAACTATGTAGCCCTCTTCAGTATCATATAGGAAGACCCCATGTCAAATATTACGATCTAATTCCGTCTATATATTTAATAAACTGGCCAGCGAACCTTCAAGCGAGCCAAGTCGCCGAAATCTGCCAACTCTAGCGTGCGGCGCGAGGCGCAATCATCAGCGCAGTCAATGCCACGGAGTTGGAGCGGCCAACGTTGAACCACTACGTCAGAGGCATGCATACTTCATTCTCACGTTTTGCTTGTATTTACTTTTCAGAGCGAAATTTAACGATGACGTCATGAGTTTCTCCTCCCGGTGTTGGCTGACCAGGCGTTCACGTGATCACCGCTGCCCTGCGCGCTTATCGGTCTGTTTCTCCGCTCCCCTTCTCCTCTTTCGTCTCCTCCCCTTCCCCCTCTCCCCCGGGCCATCACCGTCCACGCCATGCGAAGCGACCTGCCCGCGTCCAAAAAAAGAAAAAAAAAGGACCTTACGCGTCGCGTGTCCTGTTTCTCGCTCCCTCCCGAACGTCACAAGACCACGTGGTTCGACGCGACGTGCCCATGACTGTGACGACCCGAGACCAATGTTGCCTGACGCAACCGAAGTTTCGGTTTCGGTATCTGCTGATGCTTAAATTAGGATTACACAAATATTATTCCACATTTCGCGAATCCGAAGACGTAGAGTTGTTGAGTATTGCTTTGTGAATGTGAATCACATGGAAGCCTAAATTTTTCGAAATTGAGCGGAGTTGCCCTTTAAACCATTTATTTTTAACATATTAATGTTTATAACAAGATTCAATAAAAGAATGCAGCTCAAATAAAAAAAAGTCCGAGGGTAAACTTCAAAGTTCTAAGCTTTGTTGCCTTTGGCCAACACCAGGCAAAAGTCCGAAGGTGACTCCCTCATCTGCGCATACGATAGCCTCGAGTAAAACAATCACCTATCACACAAAATTAGTGGCAAGAAATAAACTTATCCCTATTTTTTTCGCCAAAGATATGAAGAAACGTTTTGAAGGTCAAAACTACAGCACTATCTATAGTCAGTGACACGTCAAGAAGGAAGTAGAAGCTCCTCCCACCCCTTTCCACTTTAGTAGAGCGAACGCATGAGAGGAGACGACCTCCTCTCCACCGTTCAGTCTGCTGAAGTGGAAAGGGGTGGGAGGAGCTTCCACTTCATTATTGACCCGTCACCGACTATAGATAACGCCATAGTTCCGACCTTCGAGGCTGTTGCCAGACTACTAAATAAAAAAAAAAGTGATACCGTATTTACTTACAGAATGAACACACTTTTTTTTCCGAAAAATCATTGCAAAGTTGGGGGCGTTCATTATGCGAAGTAAAATTTTTGCGTCCGTATTTACTCGCATAATGAACAGACCTTTTATCCTTAAAAATCAAAGTAACTTCTTATCTCTTTGCGCGCGGTGCCCGACCCCGCAAACCAAACTAAGCTGTGCAAAAAAAAAAACTTTTTCTTAATTTCTTGGGTGTTTGCTTTTTTTTTTTCTGCAGCCTTTCGCAAGCTGTTTTGTTTGCTTAGGCGAGGGCTCTCTGCTTATCTTCTTTATCTCCTTGTGTGCGGCGCGCGCAAGGAGATTAAGCAATAAGACTGCAATAAGATTGCGCCATCGTCGCTAGTGGCTCACCAATAGTAAGCGAAATCCAAGGCAACATGGTGGCGCACGGCGACAGCGTCGAAGTGTTCGATCTTGGGACAATCTCGCCGGCTTCCCCGACGTTTTGTCAAGCTTGAACCATCGCAGCCTTGGAAAATACAGTCCCCACCGCTCCTCAAAACTAAAAAGCAAGCACTGCGACCGGCAAACCGGATACGTCTCGCCGAGTCGGCCGGGTGGGGCGAGCGAACACGTCCCCCCCTCTCCTCTTTCGGCTTCTGATTGGTCGAACACACCGGAACACACCGCAACGCTTCGGAAAGTTGAGCAAGTATCTACTCACTTGCGTCGCGCTACAGAGCGTTGCGGGAAGGCGCGCATCGCACCGCAAGCGACCGCTCCTGGCCGCAAGTACTCCACAAAGCATTCAAACGCGTTCAAATGCGAATGTGCGTATAGACTTTTACCTCCTTGCGCGCAGTGGCGCGCGAACCCAAAGTCCAGACTGCGCTGTGCAAAAAAAAAAAAGCTCCTCTCTATGTTTTTTCCTTGCTTCCGTTGGATCTTTGCGAATTTTTTTAACGCCTTTGGCAAGGCGTTTTGTTCGCCCACGCTGCCCATGCATTCGCGACCTCACTGCACCAGGATAGAAAAGTGCGTTCATTTTGCGTGCGGGGGGGAGGGGGTCAAAATTTCGACGTCTGAGTTGGGGGTGCGTTTATTACGCAAGTGAAAAAAAAAAAAAGTCGAAATTTTGAGAGCCGATTTGGGGGGTGCGTTCATTATGCGAGTGCTTCAATTTTGCGAGTAAATATGGTAAAACCAAAACTATCAAACAAAATAAATTTATTAAGCGGTTTGTTGCCCTGAGGTGTGCGAATACCGAATAGTAGTTTTCGAATCGAATCGAATTAAGAAAAAAAAGCCGAATAATGAATAGAATATCGAATAGTGATTTTATTTGTAGGAATTTTTCAAAGTGTGCTGCGAATGAGATTATTATATGTGCAAAGTATGCAAATGGCGCAGGATATGCATCTTGTACGGAACAAAAGCTAAAATGTAAAAGACTTCTGTTTGAAAAAAAAATAAATAAAAGCAGTAGCTGTTGGATGTTGGGCACTAAAAATCCAATTTAATGGCACAAATATGATCTAAAGTTACAGCCACGCGTGCCTTTTTTTCTCGGCAAGATCAGAGAGTTGTGCCATTTTGCGATATAAGGTCTCCATTTTAAGGAAGAAAAAGGGCACCCAGGGTTTTATTCCACATAAATAAAAAGATAGGTGTTAAATCTAAGTAAACAAGCTTAAACAATATAATCTGAAGTAAGAAAAAAAACATGTCGTTAGGTGGCGCAAGTCACCGTCCTACTGCCGCTATGCATTCATTCCTCCGTCCATCTACCCTATTTTAGAGAGCCTAGATTTAAAAGAGTGAGCAAGCAAAACTGAAACCATGGTAACGGCTCCAGCGCAGATTGGTCGTAAGTGTGCATGTGTTGTGTTGTTGCGTGGAAAGAAGGCGAGCAAACTGGAGAGCAACGACGCTGCCCTGCCTGCCCGACCCCGATCGACCCCGCTTTCGTCTTTTCGTCACCTTCTCGCAGTTCATAATTCAGAGGCGGCTATCGAACGGTTGGAAACCCTCTCAAATCGAAACACACTATTTTTCCGTTCCGTTTCGTTCCAAACAGATTTTGCGGCTTGCAGTTTCAAAAGAATGACGATAAGTCAAAACAGTTAGGGCGCAGGCGAGCTGGTGTAGGTTTACTGTTTTGTTAGACCACCTGAGACTAGGTGGAAGAAACACGTGTTTCTTCCACCCAGTCTCAGATGGTCTAACAAAATGCTACACAATAAGTCGACTGGTTTCATTGGCATGGTGAACGTGGTTTTCTTTCTGTGATCGTGCAGTCGCCGATTTCTGTGAGTGTGACAGGTGTGTTCTACACCGGCGCTTCAATTTGAAACTAGGGGCTTTACTCGTGAAAAGAATTAGGCATGGCGCAAAATTCCAGCCTCCCTACAATTCGCCTCTGGAAGCAGCGGAAACCGGATGTTTCGGTTGTGATTCAAGGGTAGATTGTGTCACGATCGTGAGTACCATATTTACTCGAGTAATAAATGTACTATCTATATACAAGGCCCTTGCGTCTACTTTCCCGCAGAAAACACGTACAGCCAATCACTGCGCTGCGCATAAATAACATAGCAAATAACCAGATTGAGAACACGATTTTCCATACAAATGCAATCTTCACAGATGGTATCTTCACTCGAAGACATTATCTCAGTCCCGTAAACAGCTGAAATCATGCTGTCGATCGTGGTGATTGGCAATCTCAGTGTTCCGCGGAAAAGCGAACCCTCAGGCAGTGCGGCTATTACTCGAGTAAATACGGTAAATCTGCGTGCTACAGTCGAACCTCGATATAACGAACTTCAATGTAACGAAATCCTCGATTTAACGAAGTATTTTATTTTTCATAATTTCTTGCCCATAGACCCCATGTATTTTTAGTCCCTATATAACGAAGTCTATTTTGCTGCTATTTCAATATAACGAAGCGCCATTGCCATAGAAGGCAATAAATAAATCAACTCTAAAAAACAACTTCGCAAAAAAATTGTGGTTAAAAAAAAAAAAAATTATGCGCAAACGCGAGCGCTTGATAGGTTACTTCACGGGGACAGGCCTTCCAACGTTCCTAGGCTGCCCGAGGATGCGGCACCGGTAGCGCCGGCGAGGCATGCGGCAAAGCGGATTCCGCGAGGCTGGCCAGAAAATGCCAAACAAAAAGTTAACACGGCATAACAGCATCACCACTGACATTCACTGATCATCATAGTCCACTGTACCGCGGGTAGCGCGGGAGCCAACTTCAGCGAGGGAGCGACGTGATGGCGCGACCGCACGGGCAGTGCCATCTAGGAGAAGACCGAGAAGACCGATTATCGTCTTGCGAGCGTGATGTAAAGCAAAGGCGCAAGCACACTGTGGGCGCAAGGGGGCAAGTAAACTGTGCGGTCAAGAGTGCTGTGTAGGTTGGAAACATTGGCACCGCCTAAACTAAACAGTTTTATTTTTTAACCGGGCGGTTCACTTACGTTCTTGCTGCCATAGGGAAACGTAAAGTTCTTTCTTTGGATGAGAAAGCAAACGTTTTGGACGCCATCCTGAAGAAACTGCCGAGATCACGAGCACTCGGGAAGTGCTCGACGCAATGGACGTACTGAGGAGGTACAGGGCGTCGCATGGGCAGCAAGATGCCGTGCAAACGCTCTGGGCGCTCGAACGCCGTATGACGCCGCCGACGCCGCTGCTACTGTCGGACAAGGCGCAAGCAAAACTCACGGACTACTTTGCCCCTAAATAAATGTCATTTACGGTGAGTTTTCATACCCGTAAAATGTTTCGGAATATTTTTTTTCGCATGCTAAAGCCAAATTTCGATTTAGCGAAATTTCAATGTAACGAAGTAAATTGCGAATTTTACCGACTTCGTTACATCGAGGTTCAACTGTATAAAGTTTGTGGCGTTCATTACTTTCCTTTTTTTCTAACCTGTGCGTTAGATTTTTGTGGAATGGTAGGACCAAGAGCTGTTTTTCGTATGGTTTGTCTAACATCACGGCGCTTACATCGGGAGAAAAAATTACTTTTGTTTCAGTTCCGCGCCGACCGCGCGTCTTTGGCTGAATATATAGAATATTCGAGCGACCAAATACTAGGAATTCGATTCGCAAATCAAATTATTCGGGAACTTTCTATTCAATCTGAATTCATATATTCGAGTATTCGCACACCCCTACTCATCAACAAAGGATTAAAACGGGACCATTACGAAAGCCCGTACAATGCTTCGAGGAAGACTGCGCAAAGAAAAGAAAGGACAAACGGTAGGACTAGACAAATGAAAACATTGTCTATGGTCAGTTACAAGTCAAGAAGGTAAGAGTTCCGCCCACAAGCGCGATGCGCTCGTTTCAAATCCCTCCGCAGTCGAAAGAAGAGTTCACTGGAAACGGTCCTAGTTCCGCTTCAATGGATAGATATTGGCTACAGAGTGATGCCAACTTGTCTCCGGTCCCACTTTTTAAGAAAGCAGCTTTTGTATCCATCGGAGGGGGAACCTAATCCCCGAAAGTCGTATTTGTTTCCATCGGAAATGGAAACTCTAATCTCCCTCTCATGGCTTCCCCAACGCTCATTCAAAGTCGAAAGATAAAGCAAATATGTACAGAAAGGTAAGACCCTCCTCGCACACTGGCTGAGACGTCACGGAAACGATGGGACGCTATTGGATGCGGAGGTGCCGGAGGGATGTACGATTCCCTTGGAGAGGAATTTGCCGCTACATTCTTGACTCGTAACCTACTATAGATTGGTGGTCTTCACCCCAAGGCGAAGCACTTGGAGAAGTCGGAGAGTCGTCGTGACCGGCGATGCAAGGACGACCGTTGCATCATGCTGGACATCGCAAATGCCGCGGCCTAACAAATTCATCTCGTCCGTCATTGCGTATGCCACTTATGGAACTCTGTGTCCGCGTTTCCACTCGATGCCAAGACGCGCGCAAACGTGCCCCAGAGCGTTTCACGACCTCGCGGAACACTCGGCATTTGAGCACGTTGCTTTGAGCGCACCTTCGGTCAGAGTCGACTGCATCCTCGAAAGCAGTCCCTCCGTTTCCACCCGACAACGTAGAAGCGTCGAGAGGTAATTCCTTGCTGCTCGGGTACAACGCGTAAGAGGGATGGGACGCTGAGTGTCCCACCCTTCTTGTGTGTTCCAAGCAATTAAAACGGCAAGAAATGACAACGCAGAAGCCAAACCGTTGCGTCGTCAGATGCCGCAATCCCACCGGGTGAGGGTGGGAGTTCCGGGAGAAAAGAACGGGTGAATGCGAGCGTCGTCATCGTCGCAGCTCCCAACTCGCGTCTGCTTCGGTTCCTGCAGGCCGTCGAGCCGAAAAGCGACGGCGAAACGGTAGTCCGCCACGTTGATCACAACCGGCAACTCAACGCTTCCAAGGTGACGTCGGGCAGAAATCGAGGGAGGACCCTTTGGGACGCAGTAAACGCGCGGGTTGAGAATGCATCTTGGGCATTGCCCGGTGGCCGCCCTCGATGGGAGGACGGGAGGGCGATGGTGGCGGGGGCATGCCCACCTTCTGCAGCTCGGCGTCGAGCAGCTGGAGCAGGCTGGCCTTCTCGCCCTCCAGGAGGGTGCGCAGGCTGGGGCCCAGGTGCAGGTAGAGCACCCCGGCCAGGGACAGGGAGGCCGAGCGCACCCCAGGGTTCGAGGCCCCCAGGCCCGTGCGCACGTGCTCCACCGCCGCCTTCACAGGCACCTGCGAGGGTGCGTCGAAGGAGGGCGAGTCTCCCACACGCTCCAAACACCGCAAAAGGGCACAGATGCGGAAGTCCCGGATCGCCGGTGACATTTTAAGACGGTCGACTTGAGTGAATCTGAGCTCGATGGGACGGGCAAAACTAGGTCGAATTAAAAGACATGCAAGAAAATTTGAATATCCGGCACTTTAGAACTGGTGGGTTAACATTTTTATAAGCCGCCACACACTGCCTCACGGCAGCAGCCGTGTTATGTCCTTTGCATGTTTGGTGTGGTGGTTGCAGCGGTGACTGACAGGCGGCCAGCAACCATTGCAGCAACCATTTCAGCACCAATGCAGAGCGGCACATGCTGCTCCGCAGAAGTGTTGCAATGATTGTTTTGAGACCCAGCCGTGTCCTGTGTCTCAACATATGCTTTTTCTCTCTCTTCGCAACTCATCACACAGTAAAATATTTGAAAACGGGCATTTTTCCGCTGACGGGCATGGCCGATTGCACCTGTAACTTGCCCACTGTGTAATTGGAAAGAAAAAAAAAAGTTTTTTTTGTGTCAGGCACGGCCAATTATGCTTGTAATTTTCCCACCGCCTATTCGCTCTAGGCTGAATTAACCAATATTTTATATTTCAAAAACCAAAAAAAAAAACTTTCTTTTTTTATAGAAATGTATGGGCTTTTGCAACAACCTTTGAACAGGGTCGAATTAAACGATAAGTTGAATTAACTGACATCGAATTAATGCTATTTTGCGAGAAAAGCGCCACATTGCGCTCAAGCACTACGCTTGACAGCCACATCGCCATCCTCCAGAATAAATTTGGGACCCACTTCGATAGTGACACCCAAGCTCTGTGCATCGATGCGGCCCCCAGGTGGCAGATTGATGCCGAATACTGCAAGGCCTCTAGCAAATCCACCGGCACGATTAAGGCAAGCCTTCACCTACCACCTTCACCACGGTGCCACAAACTAAACACCGAAAAAACGATTTAAGCCTGTCTCGATTCTATCGGGGTGATTTCGTTTCAAGTCATGGAGGAACAAAAATTAAAAAAAGGAACATGGGGAAAAACTTTCCTAGGATGAAACTGACTAGAGTTTTTGCGTCGTCTTTTAGTTTTTACTTCTAGAGAAGCAAAGATGGATACAGAAAGATTTTTAACAACTTTTTGTAAAAAAACAAATTTACATACACAAGCTCCTCTTAGGAAGGAATAATTTTCGTGACATCGCAAATATTAGCTCAGCCAAGTAGACCAGAACAACGTTTTGCCCGCGACGTCCTCTGCGCAGACCCTCTAGAGCCCCCCACGAATCCGCCCCGGCTGTGGGGCGCTCACCCTGAGCCCGAACTCCCGGATGGCGTTGGCGAGCCAGAGCAGGGCCTCGCTCTGGTTGCGGGGGTTCCTCTGGGCGAAGCAGAGGGCGGCCACCTGGGGCCCCACCGCCTCCAGGGAGGTGGCCTCGGCCAGGGCCGTGAGGGCGGCCCCCGCCCCCGCCCCGTTCTTGGCGTCGCCCAGCTTGTCCACCAGGTCGCCCAGGCAGGCCTCCGCCGTGCAGGGGGACACCCCGCCACGCCCCAGCACCCAGCACAGGGCCTCCAGCTTCAGCTTCAGTACCTGCCCACGTCCCAGGGGGGCGTCAAAAGAGCCAGTCGGGGGCCCTTTCCGTTAAGGGGGGACACTACCCAAAAAAGTGAACTTTCGAACCGCTCGTCCGATTTAAATGACATTTACAGGGCTTGTTTCTGTTCATGTTGAGAACATTTCTGCCAAATTTTGTTAACCTGGGTGAAGTATAAAAAAAATTGCATATGTTCAAAGATGGAAGTGGGCGTGTCTGTGTAGAAAAACTATCGTTATGAAATTACTTATAAATTTGTCGTTTTCATGTGTTACCTTGCTTTAGGACAGTTCAGAGCAGATAAGTATGGAGCTATACTTCTATATTATACCATCTTTCATGACAAGAAAGTCACATAAACACAAATACTATTTTTTAAATTTCCATCCTTTGTCCAAAATTTTAGTTCTTGAGCACTAAAAATTACAAAAATAAAAAAATACAAGCTCAAAGCTATCTTCCCCTTTAAATTTCACCCCAGAAAAACTAATAAAAATGAATCCAAGTTACATAATAACATAACGATAGTTTTCCTAAAGTGAAATTTATGCCAAAAAGTGGAATGGAGAAAAATGTGTTCAAACTGCTTCAATCTCTACCTTTTCCTTTGCATCAGTGGACCGAAAATAGTTAATAAAAAATTAACTATGCAGTGTAAACTAATGAAACTTTCTGGGAATACTCTCTAGATGTGGGTGGATGTAAATATAACATTTTTCAAGATCAGCTTTTTTTTTTTGCAGAAATTGTTTTTTCTGGGTAGTGTCCCGCCTTAATTGGTTCAGCAACATTGGAACATGTACAAAGACGTGACAAACACCACAATGGTGCAATGCTGTCAGCGATGGGAGCAGCATCGGTTAGTGCATCGATCGAACATGAAAAGGTAATTCCATCCATCACCAAACGTATGAATGTTAGATAATGATTGATGACTCTTCTTTCACCATTCGACGGTCTGCTTTTTTCCCCCGAAAAGACGTTTACTTTCGGTCGGGTTTTGCTTCCGAAGGAATAGTATAAAGGCAAGGTCCATGCGTGGGGATTTGCTTCTTAATTATCCGGTGGGAGCAGGTACAGTGCTTGTGGGTTGTTTAGGTTTAAAGCGTCAAACGGAATTATTGACGAAAAAAAGTTGGTACCTTTTGTTTCATCTTTGGGTGTCTGCCTCCGCGACATTTTTGCGGCTTCGGAATCCTAACCGGAGATACTTTACAGGGCTCGGAAGTATCGGTGCTCCCGTTACAGAGACAACTGTAAAAAGGTCAATGCCGACGCATATTACTTCTCATCGCTCGTACATAATACGAATAGATGGGACGCAAAAAGAACACAAATCCTTCTTCATAAATAAGGCTCGGGTCAGAGTAGGTCCCATTTACAATGGGTTTTGAAACATTTTTTTCAAAATGAAGCGTAGATTGGCACTTTGGTTGAGATAAAGCCTGTCTCTGCCTCCCCCTTTTACACTCGGTAGCACTTTTAGCCCGCAAATAGGATTCTCGTAAAAGTGACACCGAGCCTTAGTGGCACTGGAACCTCGACTAACACATTTTTTCGAATATACACGCATTTGTTTGTTCGTCTTTCCCCTTTCTCGGCAAAGCCGTTTTTAAAAATGAAGGTCGACCTACAGTCGAGACCAAACAAGGTGACCTCGTGATAGTACTCGGCATAATTTTCGATCCTAATGCGTTAACCCAGGTGCCTTGTGTCAGCTGGTTCTCAGCACTGCGATGCAAAGCGGAGTGGTAAAAGCAAAGACACGGGCGAGATACGAGCACCGCGTGAAATTGATGCTTCCACGGACGCTCGGCGTCGAGCTCGGGTCCAACTGCCGAGTCTATGACATTCCGAGGAGGAAGAGTGGGACGCGGCCTTTGTTACTCGGGACGCCACCGCCGTGGCAGCGGCACTGAGGCACGCGATGAACGAGGTAACGAAGCAATCTCCTCGGGAGGAAAACACCCTGCATCCGCATTATTGCGGTAGCCTCACGACATAGCTGCCGACGTCGTACAGAAATTCTGGCGACGACGGGGCTATTCCAGTTGACGAGCAATTTCTATGCCTCGATTCGTTTTAAGTCTAAGCACAGACGATGCCTCGGGTAAATGGAGCAATGAAACGTGTCAAAAACATGACTTGGTGGCATTCGTCGTCCTTCTGTACGTGTTCTTTCACAGACTAAACCAATTAAGCGTAGCGACTGTCCCGTGACATGCGCTTTTAGTCTTAGTGGCTGTACGCGAACGAGCCTCCGAATGTGCTCTAACCTAACTATGCGAGTAGAGACACCACCAAATAATATTTGTATGACAAAATGACACAATAAAAAAATATTTTTTTTTTTTTTTTTTTTAACGCGCACTTAGTTTTTAAACCCAAAAATGAAGATTCTAATGCGTCCACGATTCTAACGTGCGCCAAGTTTTCAGTCGAGAAAAATCGGTGTTCGTGCACAAAGAACCGGCAAAGTTTATTTACGCGTAAGCATCGTGCTCATAAGTGCATCGCTCCTCCTCGCTCTCGGACGGCTCTTTGTCGCTCTCTGTGTGCCCTGGCAAGTCGTCCTCCGTGGTGTCCGTCGCGTTCGAACTTCCGCACTTCTCAAACGAGCATTTCACCGTAGCAGATGGAATTGTGCTCCACGCCTCGGAAAGCATCCGGCCATCTTTTCTAGGGATGCGCGCTTCGCTTTGTCGGTGGCCATGAACATGCGAGGGCCATTAATCGGCCACTTGCCGTAGAGTACCCGTACCCGGTCCTTTGCTGTTTTCTTGAGACACACGTCCGGCAGCTGAAGCCGAGAGGTCCTGCCTACCCGGAATGACGACAAGGTCAGTGTTGCCTACATCGAGCTTGACCTTCACGCGCCCATCGAGACGGCACCCGAATGCGTTGAGCACAAGCATTGCACGCATCCCCGGGTCGCTGCTGGGCCTTTCCCGCCACGCAGTTTATCAGATCGATGACCAGATTGGTGTCCGTCCACCCTTTTTCGTTGCCTCACGCAATGACGTTTCGAGGAATTGTCGACTCTTAAGCTTCTTCCACTTAAATAACAAATACGGAGGCAGCTTGCGACTGTCCGCATCGCGGCGCAACATTGCCGTCACCCGCATCTTCTCATGTCCAGAGGACAGCACGCAAACTTGTTTAGCTCCCTTCACTTCCACTGTCGTGTTGGCGGGCACGTCGAAGTACATCGGTGTCTGGTCTGCATTCCCGATTTGCCCCCACTGGTACCCACGCTTCTGACGCACCAATATCACGAACCACTGAAAAGAAGCTTCGGGCAGCTTCTGGCAGATTCCAGTTTGCCTCCGAAGAGAAAATCCTTTCCTTTTCAGAAACTTCGTTATCCAGTTTCTGCTGGTCTCGAAGGTGCTTCTGGATAGGCTTTGGTGGCGAGCTAGCTCGAGAGCTTTGACTTTCAGTATTTCAGTTGTTACCGGCATTTGGTCGGCTGTGAGCTTCTTCACGTAGTAGGCCAAGGCATTTTAGATATCACGAAAGTGATGGATCCCTTCCGGGTGGACTTGCGAACATCTCGTCTCTTTGCTCTCACCAGTTACGAATGCAAGTTTTGGGCACATAGAAAGTATACGAAGCAGCTCCGTTGCCATTCGTCTCGGCGGAAAAACAAACTTTCTTCTCGAGGCCGGCTCCCTAATGAAAACGTCGCGCCTTCGCTGGTTGCGTGGTGACACTGGTGCACCTGGCAACAAAGCAAACCGCTAGAGAAGGGAGCTCTTAACGATGCAAAATTCAACACGAGACAAGATTGGGACCACGATTGTCGGCCAAGATCAGCAACTGTCGGTGCATCAAGTGTTGCCAACATCAAGTGTTATGCAGAAAATCTACGCCACCGTCTTGTAACAGTGATGACAGTGGCGCTGTCGGTAGCAGAATTTCCGTTTCTGCTTTGGCTTCGTATCCGATTGTAAGAGCATGCCATTTCTAGCTGTATTTTTTTTCAAAAAATGTGCACGTTAGATACGGGTAATTACGGTAATATATTTCTATTTGGCTTAGTTTAAAACTGTCTCGGCACAGGTGCGGTGAAATACTTAGCACAAATGCAATTTTTGCGCAAGATGTAACAGAGTTTGTTTGCAGCACAATTTGGCAAAAATGGCGCAGCACTTCCATCACTGTGCGTCCAATCATCTCGTAGCATCGGCTGTGTCTGGACTCGGGGGGGGGGGGGGGGGGGGGGGGGAACGAAGCAAAGTGTGCATGGATCGTCGCACGGTGAGGAGGAAAGTGGGCGGAGACGCGGACGATCGGCACTTTTGTCACCTCCTCGCAGCTCATGAGCCACGTTGCGAGGAGCTTTACATTTTGGCCATTTTTGTCAAATGGAACATATGGTAAGCCAAAAAAACTTTAGAGGACCCTTCGTCTCGACAAGAGTCTACCTTGCTCGTCCACCGTTTGGAAAAGCCCACAATGCACCCCAGCCCAGCATTTGGGAAAGTTTCGACATGGAGGGAACGCAGTTTCAAAGGCCCTCAGCCACAGGGACATCCCCCCCCCAAATTCCGGAAAGGCGCTGATCCCCGCCAATGGACGCACCTGGAAGTTGGTGTCCCTGAGGCCCGGCTTGCGCCCCAGGGTCCGGACAATCACCTGCACGGGCAGCTCTCCTTCCAGAGTGTCCATCACCTGCAACATCAGCGAGTGTCCCAGAGGGCACCCCCACGCGGACAAGTATGCAAAAAGAGTAAAACAAAGGGCTACAAACCATCGTAAAGATGGCGAAAAGCGAAGAGGAGTTGACAAAGCGCAAGAGCAAGCAGACAACGCGAGGCCAGCGAGGTGGTGAGATGCGCCCCAGCGGCATGGTAGCCATGGCAGCAAAAGGGGAACAAAATGCCGCGGCCAATAGTAGTTGAGTGGTCCTCTGAGCGGGCACTTTGGCCAATCACTGCTTCGCAATCGTGAGGCGGAAAAACGTTGAACAGGCCTAAACTATGCGGCGGACACTATTTTGAAGGGTGGCAAAAAGGAGAAAAAACTGCTTCAAGACAAAACAAAAATGGCGGCCATCTGCCAAGTTGAAAGAGAGCGGGAATCGCTCAGTCTGGCTCGATTTTGCATCTATAGCGCGATCTGGAAGCCGCCGGGATCTTGTAAACATTTTTTTAAACATATTTTCTCGGTGAATTAGGTGCTGATAATTAGAGGAGGTAGTTTATGAAATATAAAAACCAAAGAAGTGGTTTTCCGAAAATTGACATTTTAGCAATTTCTTTTGTTTTTGATCTCCACATTTAATAAAATCGTTATGAGATTTTATTTGTTTACTTTAACGATTTGTTCCTCATTCATCTCTTCATGAACAATCTGTCTTTGTCGGCATCAATGCCAACAAAAAAGTGTAGAAATTACTAGAAAGGGATATAAACAAGTTAAAATGGCTTAAATCTCTTTAATGCCCGCAACATTTCCTGCAAGATGTAGATGCAACGCTGCAAAATTTTCGAGTCTCATTAAAACTAAAAACTTGTCGCAGTTATACTGTAAGGACTGGACGCAACTATTGGTGCATCCAGTCCGGGGCAGTTTCAGTAAGACGTGCCAACCGTTCTTTAACACCACTCTATATCCTGCGTGCGGAAAACAACAGCGCCATTTCTGTTTGCCAAGAACAGTCGGTCACCATTAACCTCGGCCTCTGGTAGGTGTTCCTGTGGATTTCTCTGGTGACCCGAAGCCCTCAACTGTTAGTCGAGTTGAGCGATAAAACATTTTTTGTTGTTGATGTTTCGGCACTAAACAAGCGCCGAAACTGGAACACGAGTCGCGCTCGTTCTTAGTAGGCAAGGGGGTAAGCTGCGTTCCGTCTTAAGCCAAAGGAGTGCTTTCTGGGAGCCCCTTTTGGGAGGGGCGGAAGGGGCCCACCCACCTCGCGCATCCTCTCCACAGCGGCCAGGCGGTCCTTCCAGTTGGCGCTGCACAGAGCGGCCAGGGTGTCCTCCGGGAAGATGGCCGCCGCCCTCTCCTGCACTTCCTCCTCCCCCAGGGCAGACTCTGTGAAGGCCGGCTGCACCGGGCACACACCGTCAGCCTCGCGCAACAACCAGCCAAAGCGCGGCAAGACAAGAGTCCAGAGTGCGCCTGGGCAGTGACCTCGTTCAGTCTCCCACAATTTGGAGCGTCACTGTTTTTCATAGCAAATAGAAACTATGCATCGCCGAACGCTCCTTCTCCATTCAAATGTAGCGCTAGCAATCCGAACCGGATGCCAAGAATCGACACCGTGGGTATGTGTTTCGAGAGTGCAATGTGCGTCAAGTCGTAAGTGCCTCTGAGCAGCGTTTTATTTTACTACGATGACTACATTTGTAACTTGCGGCACTCGCGGTCCAGAAACCAGTTTGATCCAGTGGCGACAGACGAGGGGGATGGGGATCCGCGGCGGCAATGGCGACAGAATGCATACGACCATATGGGTCGCGTTTCAAGAAATTGTTGATCTCGTCGTTTCGTCCTTTTGTGTTTAAAAACGTACCTTGCTCCACAGCATTGCTGTATTTGTGCTGGCATGTGCCATTCTAGTAGATATGGAACATATCCATGGTTAGTAGTGCATAATAGCTATCACAAACCACTTTATTGGTAGCAACGCACCGGAAAAGCTGGACAATACAGAGCTTAATTCGTGGCCAATATATGATGCAAAAACATCTATGCGCAACACACCTTCAAAACTTTGCTGCGGCGTCGATTCTTAGTCGGTATCCAAGCGTGCGAAGGCACAGAGACTCAGCACTTCGGCGTGCCAAGGAAGCTTTGATCACACTGCGAGACCGGTGAAACTCTTTCGACAAGTTGTGCCTTTTCCCTGCGGTGCTGCGCTTTCGTAACAAATTTCCACGTGTTCTCAAAGGCCAGTCTAACCGACACAAGGTGGTAACTTCTTCGGCGAATGACGACAAACGACTATAAATCGTGCCTTCAGCTCGCTGCCACCGGCCTCTGCAACGCTCCAAGAAGGCAATTTTCCGACATGCAAGATGGCCGTCCAGCGGCCGCACTCACGGAGAGGAAGCGCTATCCAGCAATTGTCAGCGTGTTTATCTGGTAATATATTTTCGTAAAATCTAAATTTAGGGTTAAGAATACTTAGTGGAAATCAGTGGTCGAGCTTATAATGAAAAGCTTCTAGTTCTAAATCTGCCACACTTCTACAATCGCAGCAAGCGATACATAGTGTTCTAAGGTAAACATAAACAAGTAACGGCAGAAGTTCCTGTGGCCAAGATAACTTCCGGTTGACCAGCTTCTTTCGTACGTTTAAACGAGTGAGAATGGGCACGTGCGTCTCTTAAGTTTTTATAGGCTGAAAATCAAAAATGGAATACCAGGCGTAAGATAGATCGACGTATGCTTCTGGATCATGCAGTGCCAAGAAAAAGCACCGCATCTCATTTTATTTAGCCTCCGTGGCTGAAGTTACTTGGCCCTACCTGATGTCCGAGTGGAAACTTGTGTACACGCGTGACATTCTACGAAGCTAGACGTCCACAGATCAACCGAGACACGCAATTGTTTCATGTTTGTCGTGCAAGGGAGAGCGTGTGCAAGCGCAACATAGCTTCGTCAAATGCGCGTCGTCGCCGCGAGTGTTCGAGCTGGCCTAACAAGACTACGCTGTGCCTGTTGGACGTAGTTGAAGAAGAATGTGAAGAATTGTGCCACTCACGCTCGATCGTGACCCAGAAAAATCGAGCGGCGATTTTTGACAATGAGCAAAAATATCATGATTGGGACAAAGCTGTTGCAGCGTGTACACTTGCGCCGCTTGTTTTCCACAAAAAAGAAAGGAAAAAAAATAACAGTATGACTGACGACGAGTGGAGATATTGTGATTGTGACGTCAACCTTCCGCGGCAATCCCGTGAATGATATTTACTTGGATACAGTAGCAGATGCCGGCGTCAAAAGGCTATTTTAGATTCTAGAGCCCAGAAAACTAGTTTCATGTCCGACCTGTAACCATCACACGACACTCCCGGGGACAGAGCCCATTTGTTAGAACTGTTCTGTTTGGGTGGACATACACTAGCGCTGCTGGGTTTGACGGCATGGGCGAGTGAAATTGTAGAGCCCATCCATTTTACGACAACTATACAATTTACATATGCAGTAAAACCTCGTTATAACAAAACGGGATATAACAAACTAATTGATATAACAAAGCAATCATAATTCCCCTTGCTTGCTAATAGTGGGAAGAAATGGACATTGGCTATAACAAACTAATGGTTATAACGAAATAATTACGACCGCTCCTTCAACTTTGTTATAACGAGGTTTTACTGTGATTGCAATGAAGACACGTACACGACTTCATTCTTTAATTGTCCTTATTTAATTCTTAGCGACTAAAGTGATCATTGCCTTATGCTCACTAATGGGCAGGTTCTCAAACCAATTTTTAGAGGCACACCTCAAGGACAGTTTCCGATTGAGCCCAAGTCTCTTTATCGGCATCGTGGAAGGAAAAGAAGGTTAGATGGACGCGTTTTGCCTTCAGCCTCGTCACAGCGGACTCTTAGCTGAGATAAGTTGGTGACTGTAGATGATAAGAAGGGATCAGGCCCTCACTATCTAATATTGCCAAGAAAGGCTGACTCGCGCAAGTTGCCCCCTTTTTCATTTATACTTTCCACAACCAACTGGAACGAAGGAGCGCCGTTTAAACGGGAGTTTTTTGTTAACATCCATGGACGCATTTCTTCTTAGATTCTAGCACATAACAGCTCCGTTATAATAACCTCTAGTGGTTTCATCTTATGTTTCACGTTTTGCTTTAATTCTGTCACAAACAGATGCTTTATTCCATGCTGAAAACAAAAAAAAATCTGGGCCTCGGATTTTGAAATTGGCATTTCAAAAATTGCCGTGAAACCAGGGTGTCTAGCAAATTATTATGAAATTCCCTGACTTTTCTAGGTTTTCTCCGAAAATTTCAGGTGAAATTCCCTGACCACTGTAGTAGAGGCGGTTAAATATACGAGACCATTACAACACAAGGCATTGAGCACTGTCAGGATCATTTTGCAGGGGCTTAATCTACGTTGCATATTCCGAAATATTCGTGTTTGTCCAGTCCGGATTAAATAAGGACTTTCTCGCCGCCGACATCGTCAGTGAAGGGGCCACATCCGGAAACACAATGAAAACACGACGCTCAACCACACACGTCAATAACCGAATGGCAGCATGGCCATGGCTGCCAGAGGCACACTTTCGGATACTTTCGGCTTAGATTGGGGTCTGCGGCTTTTTTATTTGTTACTAAATCTAGTAGCTCTAACTGGATCGAGCCTAGTGTCGCGCCCTCAAACCAATCCAATCCAAGGCTTGGACCGGATTTGTTGGCTGTTCCCTTTGCATCGAGTAGCACACTCTACATCGGGTGAGCATAGCCCGCGCTCCGCTCTAAGCAGAATTTATAGCCTATTTTATTGCCCTCAAGTCTTTGCTCAGGGCACTCAATGGCATTTCTGGCTAATTTTCCCTGACTGGGCTCGCTTTTTGACAATTTCCCTGACAATTCCCTGATCTTTCCCGGGAATTAAAATTTCTTTGACAATTCCTGGTTTTCTTGGTCGCTAGATAGACACCCTGGAAGCCGAACCCTAGGTTCGGTTCGATGTGAAAAAATTTAAAGTCCTACGCTGATATAAACTCTCAAAATTTATGTTTGTTTTCAATTAGTTTTTTAGTTTGTCTGTGGGTTTTTGCTGGAGTTTGTTAGGACTCTCACATAAACCACCTGTTTACAAGCTCGCATGCACGAAAAACTATCAGTAAAAATTTTGCTCCAATATTAAAAAAAAAAAAAAAATTATTGAACACTATTTTTTTCAATTATCAAATATTTTATGCAATACCAAGTTGGTCTGTGTCGGTGGTTTGTGTTATGAAAACCTGGGTTCAGGCTAAAATATAAAGTGATATTTGGGCGAATATTAATTCATACTTCAATCAAGCCTTTATTCGCGTAAGAACTCAAGTGGTGATTTGTTCAATCAAGTTTCTTCGCTGTCCGAAAGAGTCGAGTGTGTACATCTTTGATTTCACAATTAAGCTATCCCAATGCTGAGCGTGCCATCGACGCGAGTGTAAAAGACTGTCTGCGTTTCATGGCCATGGAATCGCTGCTCGTTGCATCTTTTATTTCGAGGAGATCTGCTACAGCTAAGTTGACCAGTCAATTGCAAAACTTTTCGGCACACAAAGAAGCCAGTGGACGGAAAAAACGTTACGAAAGACAGATATAATTGCGGAACACACGAAACAGAGTGGTGATGTTGCCCTTTAAAAGTATGCAAAGAAAAACCGAACCGGAAGTGGGCTTCCTGTCATGGCAGCCGGAAGGGTCGCAAATACCATGTATAGCGACAAGATGGTACGAATGGCTCTTCCAGTATTCAGTGGGAACTTTCTCAGGGTTGTTTACAAACGCTGCCAAACGACAAATGTTTATTTTTATTGTATAAAATGTGATGCCCCCAAGTACGGGTGGTAACGTGTATCAAACTATTTAATGCAAAAAGATGTAGTGAACAAGTGTTGAAGCTAAAACATGTGCAACTTTTGACCAAGAGGTTTTTAAGTTCCTGTTATTGTGAATGTCCTGTTGTATGGTATCTGGAACTACTTTAAACCATTTTATAAAATGGCTGTCTAGCATTTCAATAAAACTAATTTGAAAAACTGGAAAAATCCGGTTTTTAGGAACGCGTATCCAGTAACCGATGCCCTAAGAAACTGAAACATTATATTTTTCAGTTTCAGCACCCGATGAGAACCACACAGTGGGCATCTGTTCTTCGTGATTCAATACATTATATCGTTATTCAGGTTGTGGACATGCTTCTTCAAGATCCATCATCCCACTTTTTTTTTTGCCCCACGTCTCGGGTTTTACAATGTCATTAGTTTTTTATTTGCTTATTTTGCTGGAAACTAGGGCCACCGGCTACGGCTGTAGACAATGGTAATTCTATTCATGCATCAGTCTAGTTTTCTTTTTTTTTTTTTTAGGTATGCATCCTAGTTTTGCAACGATTATGTGGCTCTGAAAGTAACTCAATACCAGTGTTTCATTGGTTATGTGCTACAAGGGACACATTTGCATGATAAAATTAAGCGAAAGCGACATAAAAGAGCAGCACATCCGCATGCACAGTGAAACCAAAACCAACTCAATCGAAGCAACCTAATGGCGTCGGTTAGGGAACTACCGAGATAAAAATGTCTATAGAAAGCTGGACCAGGAGACCAACACCCTGACCGACAAAACACTCGCCTTGGAAGGGACGCCATTGCCGATAGCTGGCTTGCTGGTGCCCGAAACCTTCCCCTTGGGCGCCGAGGAACCCTTGGCGGCCGTCACCTTGGAAGTGGGTGCGCGAGGCTTGGGGGCGGACGAAGTCGCCTTCCTTTGCGGCGCCTTTGGCTCCGGCTTTGGCTCTGGCTCAGACTTGGCCGAGGAAACAGCGGCGACCTTGCGGGCTCCCTTGCGGGCCGGCGGCGCAACGATCTCCGCCTTCTCGCAACACTCTTTCACCTGGAAAGTTGAAAGCATTTGTCGTCGACGTTACGACCATATTGGAATACATTGTTCACCCCGAAACACAAACAGCTCCGAGAGAAGGGAGCACAACGCTACACCCTGGCTGCATCGCCAACACCTGCCCCCGCGTTATCGCGCCAAAAATAGCAGCTCAAGAAAGCAGGTGTCCCGGCCGTGTTCTAAAACCTTCTCGGACTTACCGCGGAGTTCCGTGCTCCAGCGCTTAAAAGGGAGGACAGGGGCCCCAATAACACATTTTTTCATTTTTCGATATTTCACGATAAAAGTTTCAGGGTATGTTCACAACACCAACGTAAAAATAAGTGCAGAGTTTCATGGTCCTGTGCTTGCTAGGTGTCAGATTGGGGGAGTTTGTCATAATTGTTCATGCGCTTCTATTGTTCCGGGCCTGGAGAATTCGAAAAAGAGTAGGGGCAGTGTGAAATTGTGTTGACTCCTGGATAGAAACCCCAGGGAAAAATAAGTCGTTTTCAATATTATGTTTACAAAAAACATTTCGTGCAATATTGAATTTTGTTTTTGGCCACACACAGACTCGTCAAATTTGACGAGTTTATTATAAAGTCCCGACTCAATCAATCCAAAAAAGAAAATTGTCATGCGCTCATAACGTTATTTAAGAATTGAGAACAAGAAACAGGGGCTCACCTTGTCCATCTTGAAGGAGTCCAGGTCGGCCAGGAACGGGGCCACGGCCCGCTCCCCGACCACCTTCATGGCCGTGCCCAGGGCCAGGGCAGAGGGCTCCCGCACCGTGGGGTCGGAGTCGTTCAGAGTCTTCAGCAGGGAGGAGCACAGGGCCTTCAGCAGCTTCTTGTTCAGGGCCGCCGGCATGGAGCGGGCAAACACCCGCGCCAGGAAGGCGGCACACTCCGCTTTCACCTGCGGTTGGAAGGCCCCACCAGGGGGGACATTTTTGTTCCTTGTCCCGAGGAGTCCTTTCACCCAGTTTAATTTTTGCGCAAAAGATTTAAAATGCTTTATTTACTATAAAGAAATAATGGGTTGCGTCTTCTCACATTAAAGTTCAGAAAAGGGGAGATACTATTCATTTTCACGCGTCTGATTTTGTATGGTAGGTCACGAAGAATTTTTTTTTATAGATGGATTTTGGAAAATAATATAAAGCCGGGCTTGGCTCCAAACGTTCTCGAGGTTTCGCCATCACAGAGTATGTATATTCTTTTTCGAGTCATTGTCGCGTAATGTTTGTGTCTCTCGAACCTTAGCACCACTTTCAAGCATCCATGATCGAGAACGGGAAAAAAACATTGCCGGACAAAGCATTTAATTTTTTTTGCCAGCCACTGAAGTCAAATAAACCTTAATGTATTAGGCATTTTGTGAATAGATGGCGGCCACCTATAAACTCCATTAAAAAACTTTCAGCCTTTCCACTCTGGTGAAGAAGGAAGACCAGCGAAGCTGTACTATGCTGGGAATGAAGTAATGGCCGGCTGCAAGTCGGCAAGGCAGAGGGAAAAGGCTGGAAAGGTTGCCACAATCTATGGGCGACGGCAGCAGCCAGACAACCGGCAAACAACACTCCGGACAGCTATTGCCATCTGTGAGCGACAGCGGCGACCAGACAACCAGAAAGCTGCTCAGAGTTTCGTGTCGACATTTCTTTACTGGCGGACACAATTCTGGGGAAACTACCGTATTTGCACGCATATAACGCGACCATGAATATAACGCGAGGGCAGGCTTTGATGCCCTCAAAAAGAAAAAAAAAATATTATTACTATTATAACGCGAACCGAGGCTATGTCAATTTTTCGCGCTGGGGGGCATAGGAGATGTGAAAAGTCAATGGAAATAGAAGAAATATCAGTTTGTTTTGACTGCACTCGTCCTCACTGCTCAGGTCCTTCCGTTTACAATCTATTTGGCGACTACGCAGATAAGCAGCAGCACCGCACCCGCTTGTCTGGTAGTTCCCTTTTCTTCCGTGCGAGCTCCTCGGCAGCCCACAATCCAAACAAGGCACCAAGCAGAAGCACCAACACACAAACACCAGATCACTCTGGAGCAGAAACTAAACAATGCGCAGGCAGAAAAAAGACTGCTTAACCCGATACACGATCACACTTCTTGTTCTGGTCCCTCTGCATAAACAAATGCCTCGTGTTGCACGATTGCGTAAACGCGGTTGGTGGTCTTGGCTTAGCTTGAATTGACTTGACTTGGCCCAGCTTGGCTTGGCTCGAATTGGCCAGTGCCCGCAATCCCGCATGGCGCGCGCGCCGAGTTTCTGCGGCGTGCGCGCGTTGTGCAAACACAAAAGCGATAAAAATGCTTTTTTATGTTTTCTATTCGCCCTTCACGTGGCCCAATAGCTAATAAATTCCCCTCCACACCCCCACTGCTTTTCCCACCGGATATTTTGCATTAAGCCGGAGGGATGACTTCCTCCTCTGGCTTTCACCAGACTCGCGCGCCTCGTGGCTGAACTCGATTCCGAATATAATGCGAGGTGAGTTTTGGAGCACGTAATTTCGGAAAAAACTCGTGTTATATTTGTGTAAATACGGTAGTCCTTAACAGCTCCTCTGAAAAAATTGGCACGCAATCCATGGCAAGCTTCCTCCGTACAAATAAAGTGTAGCACACACGGAGGTAGTGTGGAGGTAGCTTCTGGTGGCGTTGTATCGCCAGAATAGGTGAAGCCGGGGGAGACTTCCGGTTTGGACGGACACGTCCCCGACAATGAACCAAAAGGTGCTATTGGACGAAAAGGAGAGCCAATTTGGCGCCAACGGCCATTTTGGTCACCCTGGGGAGCATCCCCACCGACCGCAACTTCTACTTCCGGCTTTACTCGGGAATTCCTTGTATGGCCGGCTCAAGCTGGTATGTCGCCTCCTTTTCTTCCACTCTCCATAATTTCGAGGTGTCAAATTAGAGGTGGGTCTAAATACGCAATTTCCCGTTACGAGGTTAGAAAGGCTGGCAACCTGGACGATGAAAAGCACAGTTACTAGATTAAAGTCAGATGACAACCTTTCTAGAACGCCTGGTGCCGTTTGTTGACACTCTCTACCCTCCGCCCGCACAGCGGACGGAAGCGATGGAACCAGTCAAACGTTGGATGTGCATTACCCACGATTCAGAAAAGAATTCTATTGTGGTTTTTATGGTAATCAAAGTTTGGGCAACAGTCTGTGCAAAAAAAGACATTCCTTTCCAGTCTTTTTTCTTCGACCAAGTTTGCCAGGTTTTACCGCAATCTCGGGTATTCTACACCACGATCAACATCCACCAGCTCGCCTCCACACTCACTGTTTTTCATGCAAAAAAAGAGTCGTTTGAAAACTGCCTTCGTTGCCTGCGGTGACGTTGATGCCGGGGATACTAGGAACGCTATCCGCCCATACCAGTTGTTGTGCAGGCAACGGAGAAGAATCGATTTCGAATGCTGCTCTTCCGTGGTGCTTGTCAACCGATAGATCCAAGAACGTTGATGCGGATGTCCCCCACAGATTGAGCCTATGTGTGTGTCGCCGAGGGTACGGTGCCTGGACCGAGTCTCCAGCCGGCGTCCTAACCGTCGCATCCATCACGTGGTCCCCAAATGGCAACACATGCAGTGTCAAAAGACGGCCTTTATGTCGTTGCACGTTGCAACCCTGGAGGTTCATGCTAGAAGTCCCGGCAGAAAGTACGAACAAACGCGAGTGTTGCCGTTGTCGTAGAGTCCCGGCTGCCAAAGCTAATCTTGAGCCGGAGAGCGACGTGGGGCAGAACGGGCATCTGTCACGTCCAACGGGACCACGGCTGGTGACACGTCGTGGGGCAGAAATAGAGGGCCTTTTAGGATGCGGTGACACGGCGGTCAAAGACGCGTCCCCGGCAACGTACCGAGGGGGACGGTGGGGGTGCGGGCGCCGAGAAAAGCTCCGGGAGGCTCGCAGGACGGCGGATGCCTCGACTCCTCCTCGCACCTCAACCCGGAGCATTGGAACACCCACCTGAGGGTTCTTGCCCTCCAGAGCCCCGGTGAGCTCCTCCAGCACAGCCTCCAGGGAGCTCTGGGCGAAGGCCGCATCCAGGGCCTCCCGCAGGGCGGCCACCACGGCGGGCTTCTTCTCGCGCAGCTTGTCCAGGCAGGTGGCCACGCAGGAGTGGGCGTAGGGGTGGAAGCGCTGCCGCAGCCCCAGGGCCAGGCCCGCCAGGCAGCGGGCCGCCAGGGCCACCACCACCACGTTCGAGTCCTTGGACACCGTCCGCCGCAGGGCCTTCACCAGGTCCCCGTAGTCCCCGGCCTCCAGCTTGGGCAGGCCGGCCAGCTCCAGCAGCTTCTCCAGGGCCTCCTTGCGCTCCTGCCACTTCTTCGCCTCCAGCTGCTCATAGAAGTCCTTGGGCAGCTTCGAGAGCACGTCCACGGCCTCCAGCAGCTCGTAGGCGTCCACCGCGGGGACGGCTTCGCCCTCCACCGCGTCCGGGCCGCCGTCCGTCCCGTCTTCCGGCGCATCCGTGCACTGCGCCCTGCGGGCCTGCTCCGACCGGAGCCAGCGCTCGGGCACGGCAGCCTCCCCAGCCACCTTGGCAAACTCCGCCTCCAGCTCGGCCGCCTGCACCGGCTTGAGGGACTGCAGCAGGGGCCGCAGCGCGTCCTTCACCCAGCGGTACAGCTCCACCGCCAGCTGCTTGCTCTCGTCGCGCACCGCCTTGTCCCGGTCCTCCAGCACCTGCCGCGAGGGATCGGCGCGTCACCCACGCTCTACCCTCTGTGGGGTTCGTATTCGCGACTCCAGCAAACTATAGAAGGCGCGCTGCTCAGGCAAAATGGCTGACGAAAGGAGGTTGTTTTCGTCGTTCAGCATGCGGACCACCACAAATTCCTGCACTGCAGCGTAAAATCAGTGTTACGTTTGAAAGGAAAGCGATTTTTCGACGGTAGAAACCTTCTAGTCAGTGCGTAGGAATGACACGGCGGAACCATAAAAATAATTACTGGAAACAATGTTTGTTTCTATGCTGCCTACGAGAACCAAGCAGCGATAGCATACGACAGAGTCGAAACGACCTCCTCTCCTGAGCCTAAACGTTTGGGTGCCCCTAAAAAATTGGGGAACCCAAATGCAGCAAGGTCGGCGCCGTCGACTTATAGAACAGGGTTTTTGCAACCCAGCTCGAGTTTCCCGCTAGCAGCCCCGATCCAACTAACGAGCACAATATTCGAAGGAGATAAATATTAATCGTAAAACATAGGCTAAGCGCCGAACAAGAACAGTTTGCACAAAAATAACCTGGTAACCAAAAAAGAACTAAAATCGGTGTAAATAAATTGCTACAAACAGTGGCGCTCTAATTTGGTTCTCGTTCTCGGATTGTTTTTGGCATTCATGTGCAATGCTGAGACGAAAGCGGGTGAGCACACTCTGCGAGTGACTGCTCTATTCACATCCGAGCTGGAGCGACTCGAAAGATTTGTTTTTAAAGGGACGATGAAACGATTTTGAAATCAAACTTCATTCACTGCACATTGCAAAAAGAAACCAACAAAACACAAAAATAGAGAAAAAAATTCTTCGCTATAGAACTTTTAAGGGGAGGCACGGCCTAGGAATCGCGATTTTTTCAAAAAAGTCAAATTTTTGGAAAATAGGCTGACCAGCTTTTACAACTCATAAAGATTGCTGTCCAAAAATTTTATTCCTGTAAGTAAAGTATTTACTCCGAAATAAATTATTTTCGAAGTGCTGGCGGCTGCACGTGCGCGCCAACGACGCGGCTGATAACGAAAATGAGCCATTTTCAAAGCACGCTCCCTCCGCGTTCTTAGGATTAGCATGGACAGGCCTCCCTCGTTGGAATGAGCGTCTCGCCCTCTTTCGTTCTGTTCGCAGCATTGTTCGCGATGTCGTGCTCACAAACCGTAAAACCCCGTAGAAAACATAGCTGTGCGCGCTCTTATTGGTCAAGCTGGCAAAACAAGAGCTCTGATTTGCTAGGACAAGCCACGTCACGTGGCTCGTCCTAGCGAATCAGGAAGCTCTGTTGCAAATGGGCGTACAGCCAGGGAGCTACCAAGCGTCATACGGAGAGAGGGCCACCAAGATGAAGGTTGCGGAGGCTTAAGTGAAAGTGCTCGAGTACTCCAAGATGTCCCACAAAAAAAGGAAGATGGAAGCTGTGGCCAAGGCACAGAGGGACCGTGCAGAGGAAGGAGTGACATATGCCCCTGGAGCATTTTAGATGAAATGGCAAGCCCCATCTAAACTAAAACACTGTTCGAACTTTTGAACCCTTTTTTCTCAGCTTCATGTTTTCACCATTTTTTCCCATCTCTAAAACTATCGTTCAATGAGTTAAGCGCCCCCAAGTCTAATGTATGGCTTTTTGGCATGAAATTTACTGGAGAACTCGGCTATGCGCTTACCTTTTGCAAATTGTTATTTCTTCACACAAAAATGTTAACGTTTGTGAAACAAGAAAAAAATTAAAAATTCATACCATTATTGAAAGTTAATTTTTACGTGAAATATGGCTTTAAAAATTATTTCAAGCCTACTACCGATTAGTTCAGTCATTCAGCGTTATATCCCAACAAAGAAATTGTACCTTTTTATTCACATTTTGAAACAATAGTTTTTTTCCTTTGGTACTGCTACATGTACATTTTTTTCAACGAATAAAGGCCCGTTCACACTCTTGCGACCGAGTACGACTGAGAGAGACGAGATCTCTTACAACTTCTTAAATGTTTTTAGAATGAGGGAACACACTGACATTGTGGCGCCATCTATGCGGTGACCCTGGAACTGCATTTCACAAGAGCGAAGGTTTTGCGGGATTTTCGAGGTCAAATGTGCGTAATACCCATAGAAAGGCTCGTTTATAACATTGTCAAAAGTGTTTCGAGCCAAGAAAGAAAGGATAATGCTCGAGAAATAAAAAAAAATATGCCGGACCACCGAGTTTACACTGATTCCCAATAGATGGCGCCAGTGTATTTTCTGGTTTAACAAGTTTTAAGGAACCCAGGTTTAAGAGGTCGCAAGCAGTCGCAAGAGTGTGAACGGGCTTTAAGGCTGTAACTTGTCAAAAAATAAACCTTTTGGGTTGAAACTTGGTGTAGCCTCTAAGTTTTGACGTTTAACATAGTACCCTAAGAATTTCATTGACCTGGCACAAATACTTAAAAAGTAGACCCTCCAAGGGAGTGCCTCCCCTTAAAAGAAAACCGGACTCCTTTACACCTCCCCTTCGAAAGCTCTGTCTTTTCAGTGCAATGCATCTGCGGAACTGCAGCACGTCAGCCAAATCGACGTCGCCTATTAGGCAAGAGCCTACCTCACCGGCACTGCGATCATAAACAATACATAGCTGGCGAATGTTTCCTAAAAGTTTTCTTAAATAATGCTCAAATCCACATTTTAAAGCATAATTAGAGATTGACGAAAATTGCCGAATTTGGTAATGCTCAGAGTAAAGCGCCTTCTATCGTGTGGTAAACAATGCAAAAGAAAGACCCGACTGCGCCTACGCAGTCAGCTCACGGGCGTCGTCTGCTGAAGGGATTTGCCCCTGGTCGCGCTTTCTTCGCGGAGCAGACTTTCGTTTTCTGGCTGCTCGAGTAGTGTTTACATTGTTTTATGATTAATCGCTAGGTTGCTATGCCATTGGGCTGCAGTGTACCGAAGTGCCTGAATTACAGTTTCTGCAGCGATGAGAGGCGCCAATTCAGAAAATATGTCGGCGGCATAAGCGCCATCAGCGCAGTAAAACCTACCGACACACCGCCAACTCGCCGAGAGAACTTTCGGTTCCAATGCCGGCTGACGTTACGACCGTCAAAATTACGCCGCAGTTTGTTTTGCGGTCAGTTGGAAAGGAAGAAAAATTGGATATTTCATTATTTTTTTGTGTAGAAGTTAATAAACTGAAACGAAAATGGATGCCTGTTCGGCATTCAGTGAACATTGAAGGTTTAATGTAAAAGTTAAAAGGTCATTTCATGGCCCCTTAAAGCTACAGGTAACGTGCACAAACGCTCGGCTGACACGACCAAGAAAATGCACTCGAAGTGGCGACACACTGTCATACGAGCGGTTACCGCATCTCTTTAGGCTCAGGAACGGCCAAACTCGGAAGACAATCTTAAAAATGAAGCGAGCTCACCGCTCGTTTTTTGGGATTTGAGCTAGAAAAAGCGAAGCGAAAGCCAGCCGAACCCTTCGCCGCCGACAAACGTGGCCAATACTGCAGCGACCGGGACGAATTTGCTCGCAAGTGAACCGAAACGGCGCCGCCATGTTTGCCGACACAATCCGGCATTGGGCTAATAGAAACCCCGCGCCATGTCACGTATTTTGCGATAGGGGCAAGCACCGACCCAGAACCAAAAACGCAGTTTGGGTTCAGGACGTGCACAGCGGCGAGCCCCCATTTCTTAGGGGGCCCCCGAGCATTGGGACGCACGACAGAAGCATTTCATGTAGACACGACCCGTAGCGGGCAACCTTAGTTTGTCATCGATGTCGGCTGACTCGAGTATGGCTCCGTGCGTAACATACAGGTACACAGTCGGCACTAACTTCTGTTACGCGAGGCCTGGAAATCGAGAACGCCACTCCCCTCCATGCACTGGCAAAAACTGCCGCGATCACCTCAATCCCAGTCAACCAACTTGATCGGCCAACGAGCAATCTGACAATAAAAGGATAGGTTCAATTCCTGGCACCGGTGAATGTCGTCCCGTAAGAATTTCTGAACCGTCAAACACATAGGTGCTTCGAAGACGCACGTTTTAGCACAGATAAACGAAAATCATGGCGTCAGGCTGCTGTCGTTGCCACTTACAACTGTAGCGCACAGCAGACCCTTGCATAAAGAAAGTTTGGTGAATGGGAGGCGTGGGCAGACGCAGTAAGAAGGCTTGATATGCTCTCTTGGCAAACCAAAATCCGAAAAGAATCCCCTAGCGGTGGTAGTGAGAAACAGTTTTAATCATAGATATATGGTTTTAATAAGAGCGTAAGAGTTAAATGTAGTAACCCTTTATGGTTGAAAATAGGGTGCACGAGGTGTTTCGATTATGATCATGCAGAAAGATGCAAGAAACAAATGTGCCGCTCAACTCAGTTTTAATTGGACAGATTCCCAGCCTACGGCACCTGGCATACGGATTATGTCAATCGTTCTGCTAGTCGCACTCTTCCACCACGATTTTGGATGACTGTGATAGTGCACCGTATTTTCAGTCACCGAAAGTTACTCTGACACGCTTATTAATTTTGTTTCTCGCGACCACTACCAGGGTAATATTTTCAGGTTGTGGTTGGCCACCTTCGAATTTGTGAAGACGCTCTGGAACAGGCCTAGCCTGCTTTTGGCCAATGGCGCCTTCTGAAGTGTCTCCTATAGGTACTTCCCATCGAATGACCAAACTCTCTACATATACAGCTCTGGGGCACACGATTAAATCGCTGCTTAAAGCAACTCTCGCACTTTCGAACGTCGAGGTTCTCAACCTTTACTCTGCACCGAGATGAAGAACCACGGCTACGAAAAGGCGCAGACAGGGCCATTACACGGAGGGAGCATTAGGGAAGATTGAGGAGGGCAGAACTTCGCCATGCAACGTAACGTGAACGCCATTTCTGGTGGTGCTCCCAACTAGCTAACAAGCTGGAGTGGTGCTGCTCTTTTAGGTATGGCACGATACCACTAACTTGTTGCAGGAATATGCGCCGGAACTTAGTTTGTTAGTCAAGCGCAACCGTCATTCGCATTAACTTGTGCCGCTTCTATGGCAAATTTTGCAATAGCCATATTTCGAGCACCTTCTCCGGAAGCGGAGTTGCGCGTTTGCCTCCAGATCAAAGACGGATTTAGGGCAGCCATCCAACAAACATGACGAACCGCAGCTCAATCATGCCGGGGCCGCCGAATACGCACCTTGTCGCGAGACGTCGACGCGAGCGACCTAGAGTTCTGTCACAACGAATGCCCTCCTTCTCCGTGGCTCCGAGAGAAGTCCCCCCGGGGAGCGATGACGGAGTACAAGAAAGATCGGTCCTCTCCCCGCCGTAGCGTTTTCTGCGGGACCCTTCGCGCTCGAGGGGGACGCGCGGATAATTTGCGGCCTCTTAGAGTCGGCCAAGCGCGCGTGCCAAACAGAGAGGGGAGGTAGACGCACCTTGGGCAGGGCCTTGAAGAGGGGCTTGGGAGCCACGACCCCTGCCCCAAAGAGGCGCAGGCACTCCCGCAGGGCCCCGACGCAGGCGGCCACAATCTTTGGGTTCTTGTTGTCCAACCCCTTGAGCAGCTCCTCAAGCACCGTCTCCTGGCGCTCCGCCTCCACGTAGGCCAGGGCCACGGCCAAGGCCAGCTCCCTGGTGCGTGTGCGGGGCGCCGCCAGGGCCTTGGCCACCAGGGCCGCCAACACGTCCCCGCAGGCCCGGCCGGCACACTGGGACCCCTCCACGAAGGCCAGCACGGCGCACAGCCCCTTCTCCTGGGCCACCGCATTGGCGTCGCCCACGGCCCCCTTCAGCAGCGGCAGGAAGCGCGAGAACTCCGGGCTCTTCGGGTCGTCCAGGGTGCCGAAGAGCCGGGCCGCGTCCTCGTAGCCGGACACCCGGGCCTTCCACAGCTGCCCGGAGAGTAGCCATATGTAGAGAGATCTAGCGGGGTAAGCACTTCAGCACGAGTACTGCAGCAATCACATAGCCGCAATCCCAAGTTGGATCCATACAAAACAGCTACCCTCAAATGCCACTCTAATCTTGACAAAGCAAGCACCACTTTATTACGTAAAACAAAAAGTAAAAAAAATTGCCAAACACCAAACAATTACCAACAACCAAAAGACCCTGCCAGAGTGGACGTGCCAACAATGTCCTCCGTGTTCCGTAAAGAATATCTATGAGTCGGAATGTACAACTCTCACGCAGTGGTGTGGGAGAATGATGAGCCAACGGGAATAATTCAAATTTATCGAAGGTTTAGAACATTTATCTACTAGTGCGCAGAGAGGCCGTGAAAACCTTTACGGAAGATTATTATGAGAGAGTGGCCTGCGCAATGCACCCAGGCAACAAACAGCAGGCACCTCGGTCGGCTGCTTGTCGGCACAACTGGTGGCCAAAAAGGCCGACTTTGGGAAGGCTGTGCCACGGCACGATTGGACAAGAGTCACAGTTCGGCAGGTCACTCCAACATTCGCACTCTAGATAGGCTTCAATATCTGCGACCACGTGACATCTCACAGTTGCGAGCAGATCGCACAAGATGCCACCGCCTGTCCAAGCCGACTTCGTGGCCCGGCGGGTATGCACGTCGCGGGTCTACTTGCGTCTCTTCTCCAAGCAAGTTCCGAGCAAGGATCTCGAGTCAGCGACGTAAAAAAAATTTGAGAGAGCATACGTCGCAAATTTGTATAGGCGGCCAAATTCCGAAGATCAATATTTCTACTGGTCACCGCTTTTGCTCGCCTCTTATCGGCTGTATGGCACGTGGCAATATATACGGCGCATGGAATAAACCAAGGGGTTTGTTCTGCTGGGAACTATGTTGCTGTCTGTTCCTTCCTCGCACGGCAAGGCACACGACAGTTTGAACGGTCGCTCACCTGGTCCACGCCCAAGCTCAGCACGTTGTACGCCGTAGATCAAAGAAGGGAGAAAAGAGCGGCGTGCGTGCAGTGTGCTTACCCCGCTAGCGCTGCTGCCGTAACTGCATTTTTCCGTTTCATCTACGCCTCCCTTTTTCTACTCTCGTCAGCAGCCATTGAGCCCTGTTGTCGAGAATGCGACCGCTAAATGAATCTGATAACACTGACATGCCTTCCCTGCCGTTCGTGCGACTGCTGGGGTCGAGGAGGGAGTCCCGCCGGCTTCACCGATCCGACGTCACGAACATCCCTCCCCAAAAAACATCCCCCGTGTGAATACCCGGGGATGGTTACGAAAATCTACATTTGTGCTTTAAAATTGACACTGCACTTTATTGGCGTTTGAACCAGAGTTGAGTCCAAGTTTGCTCCCCTTTCGATTGACAGCTGCACGGGAGCTACCCTGAATACCGTATGTAGTCAAATAGAGAAGCGCGTTTTGTCTCCTTTCTTGGCACAGCTTTTTAAAATTAGAGGTCAGCCCAGAGTCCAGACCAAAGGTCGACCTGTAACAGTACTGAGCACATTTTCCAGGCCAATCGCACTAACCCAAGCACTCCCCCATGTCAGCCGCTGCTCCTAGCAGTCCGGTGCAAAGCGGTGAAGCTCGACACATGCCCTGGCATTAAAGGGGCCCTGCAAGCACTTTTTTACTAGTTTTTAATTTGCATTAAACCTGAGCGCACTGACCGTAGTAACTTAATGTAACTTTTCTTTTCTCGAATTTCGCCTTATTTTAAAAGTTATAGGCAAATTAAGATTACAAAAACAAGCGAAAAATAACCTCCCTCATGACGTCCTTGGTTGCTCGAGCGGCCGTGGACTAGAGGAGGGATAGTGAGCTCAGCGAGCGCTTACGGCTGCCGCATTCCGTGTTGACGGCGCGAGAGGGCGCCACTAAAGCGTATTCTGGATAGGCTGTATACAGCGGGCAGCCAGAGCGGCTCTCATTGCATTTGCTGCGCGATTAAACACTAATTCGGCATGACACTTCATTGGCCACAAGCGACAGCAAACACGGGGTGAAGATCAGTTCAGAATGGGAGTCACTTCGCGCTGCCGTAGCGCGAAATGGCCAAAACGCAAGACAAAGCTACTCGCTGAAGGCCTTCGGAACGCTCTGAGCCGGTCGGATCCTCAAGTCCGTAAACGACCGCAGCGCCGCCGCGTACATTCGGGACCTTTCCGTGTCGGCGCCTGATCCCACTACTCTTTTCTAGTATGCGCCGCCTTTTCCCCCGCTTGGTGGCGCGTATGTCGACGGGTCATTTCTTGTTTCCGCACTTTATAAACTGCATTTGTTTCTTTATTGATCTAAAGTACTGAACAAAAACTACTTTTATAAACAAATGAAATGTTTCGAGCCACTTATATTTTGTATTTCGACTAAAAAGAAGCTTTTAGCGGCTCTGACCAGTAGTAAGCCAAGGACCAAAGACGTCGCATTTCGCGCGCTTTCGGTACCGCGGGTCGCCCCCGTCGGTGAAGGAAGCTTCCGCGTCGTCCGGTTAAAATATGATGCACTGATATTTAGTTACTCTCTCCGTGCCCGCTGGCTTGCCCGAACCCCAAGAGACGTGGAAACCGCAAAAAAGGTATACGCTTAAATGTGATTGCAGGGCCCCTTTAAGGGGGGACACTACCCAAAAAAGTGAACTTTTGAACTACTTGTCTGATTTAAATGACATTTACAGGGCTTGTTTCTGTTCATGTTGAGAACATATCTGCGAAATTTTGTTAACCTGGGTGAAGAAAAAAAAAATTGCAAATGTTTAAAGATGAAAGTGGGCGTGTCTGCACAGGAAAACAATCGTTTTGAAAACACTTGTAAATTTGTCGTTTTCGTGTGACATATTGCTTCAGGACAGTCCAGAGCAGATAGCTATGGAGCTATATTTCTATATTATACTATCTTTTGTGTGAGGTAATTCACCTCTCGTATCGGTTTCGCCGACACGAGGGAAGAGGAAGAAGTGAATAAAGGGCTTTTTGCATGCCTGACTCCATGTTGAAAGCTTGCCCTTTTCCCACATCGAACATGGTGTCAGAAGTGGGATCGGTATACTACCTATTTTAACCCGTCAGCTCGCGAAGCAACCGGCTCCTCTTCAGACGCCGAAGCGACCGCTAAAGCAGCTGCTACGGGCAATATCTCGGGTCAAGCTCAAGGTACGAAATCGGACACCAGGTACGCCATGGCATTGTTCCAGATAGATCCGCCTGAGCCTTTTTCCTTCGCCACTCCTAATGAATGGCCCTCATGGAAGAAACGTTTTCTTCGGTACCGCACAGCCTCTGGATTGCAAGATGCAGCCGAAGAAAGACAAGTTGACAAGCTCGTCTATTTGATGGGCACTCAAGCAGAAGATATCTTCAACACTTTCAAGCTAAGTACAGAAAACGCCAAGAAGTTCGATGTCGTGCTATCCCACTACGAAGCCTACTTTTTCCAAAACGCAACATAATCTATGAAAGAGCACGATTCAACACCCGAACTCAAGGGGAGAGTGAATCAGTGGAGGAATTTTCAACGGCCCTGCACACGTTAGCCGACACGTGCAACTTCGGCGAACTCAGAGAAGAACTAATCAGAGACCGCTTGGTAGTAGGCCTGCAGGACAAGAAAGTTTCAGAAAAACTACAGTTGGACTCTTCGTTAGACTTGATGAAGGCGCTCATGATCGCCCGTCAACATGAAACAGTCCGAATACAACAGAAAGAGCTACGTCCCACAGAAAGCGCAGAGTCAGTACACCAGGTTCGCACTAGCAGATCATTTACAGTGCCACAAAAGGCTGCGGGCGTTTGGGATAGGACTTTGTCAAAACGTCACCAGCATGATGCCAAAAATCCAGAACGATCCTGCACCTGGTGCGGACACGCAACACACTCTCGGGCAAGTTGTCCAGCAAAAGACGCGGTGTGCAGAGGTTGTGGAAAAAGAGGACACTTTATGACAGTTTGTCGGTCGACGTCTTCTCTCAGAAATGTCACCGAGCAAGAAGAAGGATTTTTCTCAAAAGGACATTTGATGACGGCCTCAGGTCCAGCTACCCAAACAAGAAACGACGGTCAAGAGCCAGGATTCCTCGGCACAACGTCAAACACCCAAACTTCAAAGTGGGAACTAATGATACTGGTTGAGAACCACCCAGTACTTTTCAAGGTAGACACCGGGGCAGACGAAACAGTAGTCCCCGAAGACCTTTTTAGGAGTCTCTTCAAAGACCCTACTCTAAACCCGCCGAGGCGCCAGCTTCAGGGGCCCGACGGAAGACGACTTCACGTCTTGGGCGTCGTAAACCTGAACCTCTCATTCAAAAACTACACGAACGAAGAGGAAGTTTACGTTCTCCAAGGCCTCAAAACACCGCTTCTTGGAAGGCCAGCTATAAAAAAGCTCAAGGTTCTCCCAGAGATTTGCCAGGTGCGGAGCCTCTGCCCCGAGGAGGAGTTTCCCTGTCTTTTTGAAGGGCTCGGCACTATGAAAGGAGACTACGAGATAAAGCTAGCACCTGATGCAACGGCCTTTGCCCTGACATCGCCTCGCAGGGTGCCCCTGCCTCTTTTTAACAAGACAAAGATGGAGCTGGAGAGGATGCAACAACTCGGAGTAATTTCACCAGTGACAGAACCAGTGGCGTGGTGTGCACCGATGGTAGTGGTTCCTAAGCCCTCAGGAGCCATACGTATCTGCGTTGACTTTACGCAACTGAACAAGTACGTCCAGAGGGAATGGCATCCGATTCCATCTGTAGAACACACTTTGGGAATGCTCCAGAAAGCAACCGTTTTCTCGAAGATTGACGCCAACTCAGGGTTTTGGCAAATACCTTTAAGCGAGGACAGTAAAACCCTGACGACCTTTATAACACCTTTTGGCAGGTTCTGTTTTAACAGGCTGCCGTTTGGAATTTCTTCGGCTCCAGAACATTTTCAAAGGAGGATGGCCGATGTTCTTTTAGGACTAGAAGGAGTTG